TCAGGGCGGTCCTCGCAGTGATGACACCCGGGCGTTTCCTCCCGCCCCATCAGACACTGGTACCTCCCGGAACTCCCATGTCCGGTGAGGACCTGTGTCAGGCGGTAGGTGAGGACGCCGTAGCGTCTCTCAAGCCGCTCCTCAAAGCCAGCCCAGCCCTTGGTTGCGACAGTCGTTGCTGCCATTCCGCCATGAGATCGCGCCGGAGCTCATCCCGCCACGCACTTATCTGGCGGCAGCGGAGTTTCGCCCCGGCGACGTGCCTCCGCGCGCATGCTGTACACGCGCGCGAGCACCTTCGCCTCCAGATCCCACGGCGACGAAACGTTACATTAAGGCTTGATTTTTACAACAATAGGAAATAGTTTTTGAATGATTCACAATAAAATTGTTCCATATAAAAGAAATATCAGACGTCAATCATAGCACATTTAAAAAAATATCTGTTAATTGCTCTTAACTTATTTGTACCTTTGCTTACCTCTTCGCGGAATATTATAGTAAAATACAGGTATATTAAAATATTAATTAACGTTGTTTTTTTCAGCTCTACCAGTGTACGCGATTTCGAGTATAATCCTCAGCTCAGTTGTGGTCGTGTTGGCTATACTTTCTGTTTTCATATACAGGTACATATTTTTATTAAATTATAAGAAAGGGTTTTAGTATTCATGAATTTGAAATTGTTTATTTTATAGCTATAATATCTGATCATCTAGGGAAATTACCAGTTCAATTTGAAAACAAAACATGAACTTTATAAATTAGGTTCATATATTAAAGTCAAACATAGACCGCCTTTTTTAAAGTCGTTTAAAAATAGCCTCATTTACAAGTGATTGAAAAGTAAAATGAACAATATAGCTGCATTAAAATACTTTTTCTTATTATAAACGTATCACAGTATTTTTAAACTGCAATTAAAATGCAATAAGTAATAGAGATAAAAATTGTTCCTTTTATAATAAAATATAATAAAATTTTTGCTAGTTCTCATTAAACGTTCTTGACTAAATGAGCAATTTTATTAAATTGCAAACGAACTGCATATTTTCCGGTCATTTTAAACGTATAAATTAGAGATAATATCCATTGCTCGTTATCACACACAGGTTTATATTAATTTTGTTTCTTTTGCAATAAAATAGCTACAATCACCAATTATTATTTATGAATTTTTGTTAGTTTTTCACTAATAAATTGTGTGATAGGTTTTTTAATTAGATTTATTTATATTATTATGCTATCACATCAGACACCACTGCTGGCCAAAGGTCTCTTCTCATACGGAGAAGGTTTAAGCATTAATCACCATGCTTGCTCAATGCGTTGTCCGTGCACCGTTTGTCAGTGGTGTCTAAGTAATCTTAGAAAGTACATATAACTCGGAAAAAAGTCACATTGATACTTGCCGTTGACAGGTTTCGAGCCCTCGTGCATAAGAAGCAGATGTCTTAAACCTCCAGTCCACCACGATATACGTCTCATTATGGTGTTGGTTAAAAGAAATTAACAGTTTATTTAGAGACAAATATCTACACGATTGCTCAATAGTTCTTCTTTGTCTTCTTCTTGCTTTAGATGTTTGAGTCTGGCATAATATCTTCATTTCCTTTTCTTCTGGGTTAAACAAAAGTTCATTTACAACATTTTTGTTTTGCTTTTAATTTCATAGGCATTATAAGCTGGAAGCAGAGATAGCCATGATGACGTGGCGAGTCGGTTGGAGTGATGTCCTTCAACCAGGTGGTCGGTTGCGGGGGAGCATGCATTCATTGGCGAGAAGATACAGTACTGGGGTGAGTAGAAAATGAGCAAGTAACGTAATATAAAATTTTAAAAGTACGACTATCTCGTTGACTAAGCGTTAGGTAGTGACTTCCAAACAGGGTCTTAAATGTGATTCTCGAGTTGAAAAAATATTGTGATAAGAATTCCCAGCAACAATATGATGTCTGGTTATGTGCCTGATGTATGGCCCTCTATCACATAATACTTAATCACCACGCAACAAAGGCCAGTATTTATTTGAATAGCTTAATTTACTGGCGTCAATATAAAAAATATTTTTGGGGAAATGCAATCATGCGCAGCCCCTTGTGCGCATACTTTAGTGCATTGTTTTTTATATTTGATGAGCCGACTTTTGATCACTATCTCGCCTGGTGGTAAGCGATGATACGGACTACGATGGAGCACGTCGTCCTATAAGTAACCTATTTACTCGGGCCTTGAATACACCTAGGGTTTTTAAAAACACCCAATTCCTTGTGAATATCTTTGTTATTTAACTTACAATAAATATCTTTTTTTTAACAGTTTAAAGAGTCTTAAGCTTTTTTATTTCATAAAATATGCCAAAAAATTGAAAATACAACATTAAATGAATGTTAAGAACTTCTTTGAATGTCTTTTTAAATATAATGTAGACAACATTCAAAGAAGTTCTTAACAGAAGCTTATTGTGATATTTTTTTATGAAAACTTTACATGAAAAGACGCGAAACCGTCTATAAAATGTGAAAACAGAAACAATAGGGGCGACCCAAATAAAAATCCCTTACACAAATCCGTTACGACAAAACGGCATTCTAAAAAGGGTCTGTAAACACAAGACATTGAAAACGACTTATTTATTCCCTCTCGAGATCTCCTCGGTCGGAGGATAGATAGAAATCGACAATTGTTTGGTATTCTTCAAAATACACGTGCTTTGGCTTAGAAACAATTCAAAGCATTACGTAAAAGTACAGCCACGTGTTTGTATAAGTGAACGAGCATAACGGGTTTCAAAAAGTGAAGAAAATATCTCAATCAGTTCATTTTTTCTATGTCGAGTCTAACCTAGACCAAATCCCTTGCAATGTAGACTTCACAAAATGTTAAAGAGTGAAAAATAAATGGGTGTTTTTTTACCTACTTCGTGTTGTAAAATTGTATCTAAATCTGACCTAGTTTATAAAAGTTTAGAAGAGAAAAGAAAACTTTTGTCCAATAACAAGGCAGTACAATAAAGAATCAAGAACGGAAATTCCTTAAATTTTCTTGATCGTGCATGTTCCGGTTGTTTCTTGCTGAACTTTTATCGTTATTATCCATTGCTTCACTATCTCGTCAGTTCAGTAATTTTAAATGAAAGAAATTGAGTTGGTATTCAACTCAACAATTGTTGGGTATGTATAAATTAAGTGTTTCAATGTAGAAATAAAGAAAAAATATTTAATTCTGGTCTCTAAACTTTACAAAGAAACCAATAATATCTACTACCACATCCAAGACTTGAGACCCATTTAACTATCGACGTAGTTCAACTTAACACACTGTCTTATTTTTTTTAAATCTACTTTTACTTTAACATTTTCCCTCAAAACTTGTATCACTTCCGAAGAAAATAGTTTCAATTGATTCATTATTGACTTACAGTTCGTGGCGAGAAAAGTTAGAGAGAGTTATAAATGTCAAGTATTTAGAGATCCGGTCGAACTTCATCCTTCGACTACGTTAATATTCAATGAACTCTTACCGAATGTTAAAAGATCCCAAATAGTTTTCTGAGTTGCAACTTTACCATAAATCTACGAAATATTTGGGCTTGGAACTAAAGCTTAAGAAAGATCTAAAAAGATATTTACTTTAACCAACATTGAGGTTATTCTTAGCGGTTCTTTTTGTTACAGACTACATTTTCGGATGAAGCTACATCCTTGGCTGGTGACAGACAAGTCTACACACCTTGCGGTTTCTACAAAGGCTGTCGAGTTGCCATCAAAAAAGTGGACAAGCAGCGAATAGACCTTACAAGACCACTTCTTCTAGAACTGAAGAAAATGAAGGATCTAGAACATGATCATTTGGCAAGATTTTTCGGAGCCTGTGTAGATCCTCCCCATTGCTGCCTCATGACGGAATACTGCCCTAAAGGATCTTTGCAAGATATTTTGGAAAACGAGTCTATCAAGCTGGATTGGATGTTCAAAGTCAGTTTGATGCATGACATTGTGAAGGTGAGTACTAAGTAGAGAAATAGTATGACCCTATCCTAACTCAAATGACATGTCAAGTACCTACCTATTTGCCCTGGTGTTGTGGGTAGCCTACGGTCGGCGCTTATTGGTTACCAACAGGGTATGTCTGCTCGTATATTGTTACCTTTTACTTTTAATATTTATTTTCCAAAAGTTATAGTATACATTATAATTCTCACCCAAGTCTATTTATATTGACTGCATGGTTGGTGCGGTGGCTGAGCAAGTGGCTGCCGCAAAACGTGTTGTGAGTTCGAATCCCACACAGAACAACTCTTTGTGTGATCCACATATTGTTGTTCCGGGTCTGGGTGTCATGTATATGTGAACTTGTATGTTTGTAAACACACCCACAAAACAGGAGAAAATCCTTATGTGGGGCAACGTTCTTTTTGAAATAAAAGTATTATACTTAATAAAAATAAATTTACCGTCCTAACTATAAAAATAAACTTTGAGGAACTTTATTATACACCGATAAGTTTAGCAATTTATTATCTCTAAAATAATAAATCAGATGGGTTGAGCCAAACTATTAAAGTTTGAAGTGTAGGGTCCTGTATTCCCTTGTTGGATGTAAATAGTATTAAATCCCAACGAACCTTGTCGCATTTACTAGTAGACTTTATCGGGAAAGTTGTCGACCGCGGTTTTAAAGCGAAAGGCTTGTAAACAGTTAGTAACTTTTATTACTATTTGCGCTTGGACTGTGGATTTTCTATAGTTAATGAGACATAATATCTAGACATATTTTTATTCTCCTGATTTATTTCATTGAGGGATATAAGACTATCCATATCCCTGGGACGCGCTGCAATTCAATATTCTGGTATTTACATGGTTGTATCCTGGTTATAATAGGAGGTTGTGGTGTGTTTTTTTCTTGCCGTGACTGTTGGTGTGGTGTTTCGATGTCTAATCCGGGAAAAGAGCTGTAGGGATTTTTCTACTTCTGATAATGCTAATCATAACGATAAAATGCAGTGAATAGGGATCGAGAGGTGAATAGGGACGGAAGAGGGATAAATCGATACTATGAAGGATTTCCTAATGTCTATCCTCATTTTAGTGTTAGTTACGACAACGAGCCTATTACCTCGCCCTATATCTGACTTTGTTTACTCATCTCTTTGTAGTCTATTTAAAGGTGAAAGAGGGTCAATTATTCAACTGAACTGAACTGTCAATATTTGATCAAAGCCTTGTTAAATGTATGCATGTTTTAATTACTTTTCGATCAGATATAAAATGAAACAATAGGATATTGAAGCTTAAATTAATTTCAGTGCGAAATTCAATTATTTCGGCCATAATGCAATTCTTCATGTTGATCTGCATTGTTTTGATTGTTTAACATTACTGAATAATTTAATAAAACAAAACCCACGCTTTCAGTCATTTAAAAATGAAATGATATACTACATTATTTAATGTTGCTTTGGAGTGTACTGTTTCAGAACTGCTCAATCTCTGAAGAATATGATTAGTATACCTAAGAAATCCATGTAAATAATTTAACAAAGTCTCAGTTTTGACCCCTGAGATAGATAGAAATTTAAATGCAGTAAACAATATGTTTACAAGAAAATAGAACTGTTATGTTATCTCTACCAGTCGCGGAGAACCTTACGGGTTACCGAGACTTCGGCTCGAAGTGCAGGAGAAGGAACGGGGTGGTTTTTAGTCAGTAAAAGTCTGACACTCCCTTCCGCCTCACCCAGGCGGGAGGTCAGTCATTCGATGATTATCCCCCCTTAAAAAAATGTTCTCTGTACCTGTCTACCTTGCTTTTATTTATTATCAATCACCATGAATTTATTTTTAAGGCACAGGTTAATAAACAAGTAAACGGATACCTGATGTAAGCTCTTTTGGGTTTGAGTTACTGGGGAATGGAGATGGGGGAGATATTGGGCCTTAGAAAGAGGCTTTGAGGGTTAGCTTTTAATGTACCTAATTAAAAATTGTTTTTCTCCATTCAGGGCATGCACTACCTTCACGGCTCAGACATCAGATCTCACGGCGCTTTGAAGTCTAGTAACTGTGTGGTAGACTCACGATTCGTTCTGAAGATCACAGACTTCGGACTTCATGCCCTAAGAACTTCAGAAAAGGACTCCAGAGCACATAGTTACTGGACCCGTAAGTATAATGTATAATTTTCTACCTCTTTCATGACACATAAGATATAAAGATATCGTGACTAATGAGAAAACCCAGAAAAGTGGCCAAAGTCTGAAACATGACAATATTGTACGGTGTTTTACAATTCATATGTGTCCATAATAATGATTAAAAAATATCGTATAGCTGGCAACAAATAGGTGTTTTGCATTTGCATGGTTATTCATATCATTTCAGAAAAAATTAAGCCTGATATATTCACTACCCACTCCATGCTTTGCAAGCAATGTGTGAACTAAGTTTCAATTCAATTAGATGTCAGTCAGATTGTTTGACGTAGTGTAAAATTATAAAATCACCCGCCTTGCCAAGAAGGCAAACTCTGGCAAGTTTTAATTTCGTTTTTACTTTATAATTGACTTGGAAAGTTCTTTCGTCTTTCTTTGAGAGAGAAAATCAACATTCAATACCATTTACGCCTACATAGGCTTGAAATTATAGCAACATGAACCTTTTTGTTGCTTTTAAAATGGCATTAAAGTTCAAAAGTATTTAGGGGTCTAATGATCAAAGTCAGAATGCGGACGTGATCTTTGAAAGCATCCTTGCTTAATTGTCAGGATTCAATTTGCTGCGTAGCTGCCTTATTTGTTAATATTGTCCTTTGTAAGAGACGCTTTAATAAAGTGCAAATTCTTGTTTACCTTACGGAAACATTGACAGTGGCAAACTTTTTGCGATACGTACATTTTTTTCATTACACTCACGACACACAAAGGGCGGACTGTTTTTTTTTTAAATTGACACTGAGCTCCGTGTTGTCCAAACTGTATTAGAGTTGTTTGGATAAAGACTAGTTATTTGCACAAAAACAAATTGGTTTTAGACAATTTTTAAATAGTCACATTGTGACTGCTAAGTTCAAGGTGTCCGTTTTAAATTGAATTCTTCTGATTTCTTTACTAACTATCATATTTGTTTAGGTCTTCTATGGACGGCACCAGAACTGCTTCGAACGGCTGAACCTCCACCAGAAGGAACACAAAAAGGAGATGTGTACTCCTTTGGTATAGTCATGCACGAGATCGTCAACAGACAAGGAGCATTTTGGCTTGGTCCTGGCATTGAAATGGCTCCAAAAGGTGAGTTAGTTTTTCAGTTACTGTTCAAGCTATTTCTATTTTTACATACACTGGCAAAATTAGGCTTAGCAAAATTTATGTTTTAAAATTAACTTGTAGTTGTAAAAGTAGTAATAGCACGGAGTCTGGAATTGTGCCCAGTATATGGCAATAGGCTCACCCCCTATTACATGGGACTCATAACATAAATAGTGAAAAGTGGGTGTCACATTGTACAGTGGCATAATATGCACCTCTGCCTACCCCTTCGGGGATAAAAGGCGTGATGTTATGTTGTAAAAGTTTAGGCAAAATTAAAAGTACCCTTAACCGTCGAGCATGCATGAAAAGATTGATGACTGTTGATGAAGCGAAAAAGGTTTGTATATAAGAATCGTAGTAATTTGCGTTCCATTGTCTCTACCTACCCCCATGGAAAACAGTCGTGAAGTTATGTATGCGGGACGTTAAAGTTATAAATAATAATTTGTGTCTCAGTCACAGCCAGCACAACTTATTCCATTTTTGTGTCTCAGTTAGAGCTTTCTTCTCCGATTTATGCAGTTATAAGGTGCCCTAGTTCACTTTATAAACAACAAAACAGTTGTTTAAAAACGATGAAACATATATTATTTGCATTTCTACCAATTTGAAGCTATTTTTATCTATTCATGAAATTCCTGGTACAAATACAATGACACATTGCATTGTAGTCAACGAATACTATGTTAGGACCACAGGAATCACAAATTATAATTATTATCTACGCGTAATTCATTGTGGCTTTAAATTCCTATTTATCTGCCCAATAGTTTTGTTATTGCCATAGTACCTACTAGAAATTTAATGAAAATAACAAAAACATCAATTCCTGCTGCTAAATGATTAAATATCTAAAACGCGTATTATTTCAAAAATATTTTATTAGACATTTCCCAGTAGGTATATTAAATTCTGAAGAAAAATGTGGTAAAGTATACATAAAATATTATATGCGCCCTTTGGAAAAATCGCGTCATTTCTTGGGTCCCCCATTACGAACCCCACCCCATATTACTTCTAAGACTCGAAAAAATTAATAAATCATGTAACAGGAAATTATATTAGAATACTGTATAGTCGAGGAAGGAGTTCGAGGTCCGTATCAGCCGGTGTCACTGGATTAGTACCTAGAATTGTGCCTAGGCATTCCATGGCAATATGTTCACTTCCTGTCATCATCATCACGTATAAGTGCCCACTACTGAGTAAAGCCTCTTCTGACACAGAGAAGGTTTGAGCACTAATCACCACGCTTGCTTATTGCGGGTTGGCGATTTCAAACTTATAATTACAAATTATAAGTCCAGGTTTCTTCACGATGTTTTCCTTCACCGTTTGTCAGTGATATCTAGATAAACTTATAAGCTATATATTACTCGGAAAAAGTCATATTGGTACTTATACCAGTATGGTAAGGTACAGTAGAGTACGGTAACGGTACCGGTAAGCCGTTGGTAGGTTTCGAACCCACACCTTCATGCATGAGAAGCGGGCGTCTTAACCTTTGGCTACCACGACACTTATGCCATATCATATGCAACTATTATAATATCTATGATGAAAAGCGAACAATATATACGTGAACTTTGGCCTACTGCCTATGGGATTGAAGGTGTCCCAAAGGGGTAGACAGTAGTAATTATAATTATTAACTAGTTTTAATATTAACCTTCCTTTGCATAAATATCCTATAAGCAAATAAATCTATTGGGAACTTTAAGTAATTACAAATTTCAGTTTATTTCCCAGAATGGAATATTACTATTATTAATCTTCGCAGATTTACTTTAACAGATACAAACATAATAATTATTAGAAAATTAGCAGAATCGTAATCCCTTAAAACTTTCAACTGTGTGATTCTGCCAAAATTCTGTAGATAAACCAATTTGTTCACTTTTAGCCGAGTGTGCATTTCTGACGAGGTCGTAATGCGCTTTCCTGCATAGTTAGTTTGGTTGAGTGGTTGTAAGAGGCCCTAAAGTAATGTAATATATTATTAGACATTGAAAATTCTATCTGCTATTGTATAATGTAGTTTCCGTAAATCGTTATGTATATGGGGAATTAATATAAATAATAAGTTATATGGATTTGCCAATTGGCTGACATTCGATGAACTTACCTTACTTATCAGTCAGCTAATCAGCAAATTTAAAGTAGGTACATTTAATATGTTGTAGGTAATTTCAGTGTGATGGTTATGTGTGATTCAAGAATGTTGATCCTATTTGTCGCCTAATAAGTCATAAGAAGGCATTGAAAAGCAAAATACGTAGGATTCAATTCGTATAGGTACCTGTGTAATGGTGATGTCAAATTCGAGAGTTATTTTATTCAGCTCATTCAATATATTTAACGCCGGCCTTACAGTACGTGGATATATAAATAAGAACATGGCTTCAATATGTTTATTGCGTGTAACCAAATTGAAAAAGAAAATGAATGGGCTCATGTCGGGAAAGCTCACGACAAGAAATACAGTCAGATCTTTATTGTGTTTGGACGTAACACCTATTATTTTACTTAATAAAAGATGCATCTATTCTGAGTAACTTATCATTAAATTAAGCTATATTATTATCTTACTGCTAAAGATAAAATCATAATTACATCAAAATGTATCTTAATAATGAAAAAGTTAAAAAGTTGTCGATTATTCAGTGATGTAACGAGACGATTGCAGATCTACACAAGACACAACGAGTTTAAATTGTTAATACTTAATGGACATTTATATACAAATCTATCAATTCTAGAAATAAATCTACCTAATATATTTTGGCGATTTTCTCCCAAATCTTAAATAAACATTTTCTTTTCATAGAAATAATTGAAACGGTGATATCAAGTGGACTTCGTCCAAACACTTCACACCACCGCGAGCGCTCTTGTGAAGTAGATGACGCCACTGAGCTGATGCGGCGGTGCTGGGCTGAAGACGCTACGGAGAGACCCGACTTCGCTCACTTGAAGGGAGCGATCCGGCGCCTCAACAAGTAATAAATTATGTACATATATCTTCATCCTCTGGTGTAGATGTATTTACTTTTATTTTGCTGTTTTTATTTTGTTACAAAGAAAATTTTCTTTTTATTATATTGTTCACTTTGCCAAGTTTAAAGCTTGAATACGATTGCTCTATTTATCTCAGATGCCTTTTAATAAACTTTTAAGGATAGTTATTAAAATTAACGTTTTGTTTCCTACAGAGGTCAAGCGAGTAGCAATATTTTAGACAATTTGCTTTCACGTATGGAGCAGTACGCAAATAATTTGGAATCATTAGTTAGCGAAAGAACACAAGATTATTTAGAAGAAAAGAAGAAATGCGAAGAACTGTTGTATCAGCTTTTGCCCAAGTAAGTATTTACAATACCCGTGAAATCTATTTCTTGATTGGTTGTACAATAGTATTACAAAAATAAAAAATATTTAAAATAAACAATTATCAAATCATTACGCTATGTAATTCTCGAAGAGGTATTTCTCATTGGATGGCACGTGCGATGCGAATGGTCCCTACAAATTTCTTTTTTAAACTAAAAAAATAAATTTCGTTTTTTTTTTTTTGTTTTTACCTTATACGAAAGTACTCCTTATGGCAAGTCGTTTTTCGCGAGACGAAATTGACTTCACTGTTTATTTAATTTTAACCTCTGCTTCTGTCTACCTTATGAAAAGACATAATTATGCCATAAGTTATATATATCCATAGTTATTATAGCGACTGTAGCAGTAGTTATATTTTTCAACATCTTTTGAAGTTTGGTGTACAAACTAATTATGAAGAGACAACTTTCTTCTTTCAATTTGTTTCATTCATTATAATTGCAAATTGAAGTTTTCTTTCCTTTATTGAAACTTTATCTTTTTATTTTCAGTAGAATACAAACGCTAATTTCTTTGCAGAAGTTTCCAGGCAGCATTTATTTGGAATTAGAAGTGGCAAAGTAATAAGTTTCTAATATACTTAATAGTACTTGTTAACCAAGAACATTCTTTGTCCACAGATCCGTCGCTTCACAATTGATCAATGGTCAGTCAGTAGTCGCCGAGACATTCGAACAAGTGACAATCTATTTCTCAGACATCGTCGGGTTCACTGCACTCTCTGCATCGTCCACACCCATGCAAGTGGTCGACCTGCTAAACGATTTGTACACCTGCTTCGATTCCATTGTAGAGAACTACGATGTATATAAGGTTTGTTATTTTGTGCATATATATTTTGATTTCTTTATTAATGATAAAAGGATGGACGCTATCGGCTATATCGGTCACCGCACACCTAACAAGCACGGCTCCGGGACGGTTTCAACCCAGCAATGTTATTGTCATTTAAATATGAAGTTTAAATTGTATGTCGTATCACATATTTCATAACGTCAATAAAAAAAAGGTGTAAGCAAGCATGCCACCCGCGCGTAGACGACGGAGATCGCGCGCTTATCACCTTTTTGTACTGTGTCCAAAGGAAAAAACCGCAGTGCCGGAGTCGTGCTTGAGCCGGTTGTTGCCTATGTTCAATTAATTATTCTTTATGTTTTTCGTCTTGTTTTATGCTCTATATTGCATAATTAAATTTAGAAATATAGTTCTTTTATTTTTATTTGGCAATACACCTCATACTAATCATAATATTAACCTTACTTTTTATTATTCTTCAATTATGAACTTAAACATCGTTCAAATTATAATTTAAGTTACTGCTTTTAATAGATTTCAAATAGGATTTTAAAAATACCTAAATATATTTTTCTTACCTCACACGTTTCACAAATACCTCTATTATTTTTTGTAACAGGTGGAAACCATTGGCGATGCTTACATGGTTGTGTCTGGTCTACCAGAACGTAATGGCACTCGGCATGCCTGTGAAGTGGCTCGAATGTCTTTGGCACTTCGGGACGCCGTCAGCAGGTTCCGTATTAGGCATCGACCACAAGATCAGCTGAAACTCAGGATTGGATTACATTCTGGTAAGTAAATCATGCC